GGACCCACTTCCATTGTTGTATTGTTTCCAATTTTAGCGTACATTCGTGTGCACATTTTGATTCCAGCTTGTTGTGTGGCTTCTTTGTGCATTTCAGGCTGCATATACTCAGGGTTTTCTTTCCTGTGTACCTGCTACTGCTGCCCTTGTACAGCCAGCGTTACCTTCTCTGGTGTGTTTGAGACAAACCTCTTAACACACCAGATTTGTCTCTCTGACAAATCTTGGGCTTTACAAGAGGCTTTGTTTCCTCTGATGGGCTCTGGGGGATCACAGACTTGTTTTAAACAGCACACTGAGAGAGTGCCATTTTGCAGCACACACAGTCAGGTTGCTGGTGGTTTCTGTTTTATTCGGTGAGCAATCCCAATGCTTAGGGTACCCACTTAATTTTTCCATCGGACCCTGGAAATTCCCTCCAGTCTCATTCGTAGTCCTTATGGAAGGGTTAGGCTAGCCCGATATTACATTTTGCAAATTTTTAGGGGTGTTCATCGCCTTTGCTACCTGTCGATGATCATTCTTTTTGCTCCACCATGCTGCCTGTTGGGTTGGTGGTGTTTAACAACCATGAGTTCTGTGAGGTGTTTTCTCACTGGGTCTCTGCCTTGATGTATTCTACCTTCCAATTGAAGACTCTCCAGGCAGCTGCCACTTTACAGGCTTGGTTTGTCCGTGTAAAGCGTTTATGACATTTAGCTTGACTGGAAGCCCCAGAGTTAGCCCCTTGGTGTTACGGAAACAAAATTTGAGGAGTTGGTGATCTCCACCTGATCTTGCACTCATCCTGGATGGCTGGCAACCCTCTTCTTCCTTGGGGGTCTTGGCATAGGTTCTGTTGTTCCCATGCACTAGATTGGAGGCAGTGAGCTCTGTCTTTCTGGTGTTTCTGAGTGGGGCTCAATTTGCCCCAATTCAGTCCTCTCTGTTTGCTCTGGAACTTCCCAAGGATGTGGGCAAGTGGCAGCTCCATGAGCAGCTTGTTGGAAATAACCAACAGTTTCATACATCATTTTATTTTATACCATCTTTATATTAATCACAAGTAGTTACTAAAATTACTAACTTGTAGATTTAATCATCATCATGATTTATTTTAAACATATTACCAGATTCTTCCTAGTCAGAGTGATGATGCAAGGAACGACAGGCAGAAACATGAATTCTCTCCACATTTAGTTGGATTTATAACAGAGCCCAGTTTATCATTTCTTTTACTAAAAATAGTTACTTACTAATAAGCTGAATTTCGTACCATACTACTGCTTACTGGAACTTCTTTATTTAGTTGATATTTAACATTCTAGAGGAAATTATTTTACTGTAAATGATTTCACTTTAATTTCCTCGATTAGCTGCGCAACTTTAATAAGCCAATTTATGTTACGCGAAATTATATTTTATCACAGAAGAATTAAATGTGACATTAATAAGCGTCACCACCTCTTCCTTCCGTAGTTAATTTTGATATATATATATATCCATTTACGCTCGAGATGTCTATCGAGAAATAGGGAAGAGGAGGAAGACAAGAGAACGTGACCAGCGACGACACGATTCGGACGCCATTGACAGCGTGCAGCAGAGACTACGTTTCGATTGAACTTATTTTCGCTCCCACGACCAGTAGAGCGGTGCCACGTTATCTGGCATATTATAGCCGTGTCCCAGACTAGTATATCTGCAATTCCATAGTCAACGCCTTCCACGCAGCAGCTGGAGGATGAAGGATTGCTCAGCTCTCTACATCAACGGACACGCGGCTCGGCAGCTAAGTTCACCTGTTTGTTATCATGTGGCCACAGTTAACATTTAGGCTAGTTGTCGTTAGGCCGTATGTAAAATAATAAAATCCCGTACGTGTCTTCAGTAATTTTACAATCTAAATAGATGATTATTTTCATCATTTCTGCAGTAGAAATTTACAGTACTTGAATATAAATTGCACAGATATTGGCTGAAGATTTCTACAGTTATCCTTATAACTTGGGATGTATTTGTAGTTACCTATTATGTAGAAGATTTCTACATTGTAATTGTCTTCCAGTTCCAAGTCAACCGAGGTGCTAGGCTTCCCCACCTTCACTTGCAACAATTTGCCCTATGCAACACGTCGTCGGTGGAGCGTGGCAACCAATTACACCTCTCTAGATTTACAGCTAAGCTGTCCCTTTTTTATCTGTAGTAATAACTCTGTAGTTACAATTGTGATCTCCCAAAGAGATCAATTACATTAACCCATTGATTTACATCCACCGTACTATTCTATCCAGTAGTATATTGAGGTGCATTTACCTCCAATTAATATTATATAATCAACCTTGTTTACTTTCATAAGTTATTTACTCTGGTGAAGAACCAGCATTAGAATAATGCTAGGAATGTATTAATCTTTTAGCATGTAACCCCCAATTTTGTGCAGGTTAATTTGACTCCATTTATATAAGCAATACAGTTTCACTAAGATCCATAGGACACTAGTTCTTGGGATCAGTTTAATCCATTGTCTCATTTTGTTTTCCACTTTTTTTCAAAAAGTGGTGGTCCTTCATAGCTATCGAAGTATTTATTTAATTACAAGTTACTGGAATCAGGTTTTCCTCCACAAAGCTGCCTACTCTTGCCGGGGTTCTTACTGCAGATGACTCCAGGGGCACATTTGCACTTTGCTGCAATCTTGAGTGTCTAGGTCCTTGTAGAGGGGCTTGCTGAGAGTCTCTGTGAGGACATGGCTTTGCTGGGGTTTGCTTTTTAAGCGAAGGCCTTCCAACCTACGGTTCCAGCCCAGGTGGCCTTACCCAAGATGCTCGTCCTTCTCCTTTGGGAGGTGGTGGTCGAAGACCAGGCTCTGGGGACGCTAAGCCCCGGAAGCACCTCAAGAAAGCACCTCAAGGTGGTGGCCGCATTTTCTTCAGCCCTCATCACATGTTGGCAGGCCATGCTGGCACGTTGTTTAGTTTTGCCATGGTCTTTTGCCCTTCTGGCCGCCTCCCAGGCTGTGTGGTACACCTTGAGGAGGAGTCAGCTTCCTCTGGGCTCAGCATTTTGGATTCACTCTGATTACTTCCCAGTGGTTCATTGCCTGAACCGAAGGGGGTCTCTTCGGTCCAATACCCTGTGGAGGAGTCCAATACCACATGATCCTTCATGTGGCTTGCCTTCTGGCTTCTTAGGGAATGGTTCTATGCATGGCTCACATGCGGGATGTGTCCACCGTCCTAGTGAGGCTCTTGCAGTGAATGCCTTTCTACTGATCTGGTTGTGGCGATGGTGCTTTTCCCTCTTTGCCTCCAGTTCAGTTGTTCCTCCAGTTGTTGGCCAATTTGGAGTCAAAATTAAGGAAGGGTGATCCTTTTGGCTCCTTGGTGGCCGGCCCAGCCTTGGTTTTGGTCGCTTCTAGCACAGTGTCCAAACTCGGGCATTTTTCTGTGACTTTTCTTTTCCAGCATATCGGCCCAGAGGTGTACTTCGCTGGTTCATACTTATCCTCTGATCTATACTCCTTGTGAGCCTCCAATTTTGTTTTGGTGGCCACCTTCTTGATGAAATCCATTTCCTTGGTTCCCTGTTTCATAGCTTGCATTTCCCCAGGTTGTCTGCAGTGTCATCAAGTTTAATCAGCTTGTGGTCTACTCTCAGGGCCCATGGCATTTGTACATATGCTGTATGAATTGCTGTCTTTTCTACTCTGTCATGGACTGTTATTCGGGTTTAGGGGGTTTGGGCATTCTGCCAGAGTGCTAGTGGTCCGGATTTTAGTTATGGTTCCTGGTCCCAAACAGTTATGTGTAGTTTGGGCTGTGTTACCCAGCCTGGTTTCCTCTTCTTTAGCTTAAGTGCCTGCCGCCTTTCCACTTTCCTGTGCATCCCTTTCTTGTTCTCTGTGGTTAGAGTAGATTTACGGAATCACAAGGGGCTCCCTCCAGAAACCCAGCATTAACTGTAATGAAATGTCTCCGTGGTGTAGTGGTAAGACACTCGCATGGCGTTCCGCGAGCGCTTTGTCATGGATTCATATCCTGGCCAGAGAGGATTTACTGGGCGCAAATCCTTAACTGTAGCCTCTGTTTAATGCAACAGTAAAATGGGTACTTGGTTGTATGGGTACGATTCTTCGCGGCGGGGATCGTATTCCAGGGACCTGCCCGAAACGCTACGCGTACTAGTGGCTGTACAAGAATGTATGTATCAACTCTTGTATATATTAGAAAAAAAAATGTCAACTTCTGGAGAAGTCTGGATGGTTCATCATAGGTTTGTTCATCAGGTCTAGAACTGATGTGAGGAGTCGGCTGGGAGCTGGGCCTGGCCCGCCTAGTTGAGGTAACCAGTACTAATGACTCCTCTTTAGCTCATTTAAAAGAATCCCTTGTTCCATGTGACCCAGCGGAAGTTTGATCAAGATTTTTCGAGACTTCATTTTCTGTGAACCTACCAGTTGTCTGTAAAGCTGCACTGACTTTCTGGAGGCTTCCTCTGGAGAGGTGGCAAATTGTCATCAGCTCTCTGCACTTCTGTGAGCTTCAGGAGACACCAGGACTCCTCCAGCAATTGGCATTTCATTACATTCAACGCTGGGTTTTCGGTTTATATTTATAGCTTATAATGAAGAATAATCAATTGTTGTTCGCATAACAATTGCTGGCAATTGGCATTACATACTTGAACATATATATTTTAGTATGAAATAAGTGTTTATGCATGCACTTTTCCATTTATATAGTTGTGTGTATTCAAAATAAATATGGATAAAGAAAATTAAAATAATGTATGGATAGAACATACGGGTATTTAAGAAACTAAGAAAAATCAATCGAGTATGAACACTTGTTTCTGGTTGCTGATCAGCAAAACTGCAATATAAACAAAAGGCACACTTTCAAATAACATCATGCAATTTAATTTGTTCAGCAATATGACAGGAAATGTACTACCATACAATTACAGTACAGAACTGTACCAACCGAGATGCTGGTTATTTCACAACTTGGTTGCTGTACCTGGGAAGTGAGCTCCAGCGTTGGTTTCTTTTCTTTTGCTCTGAGCTCTGAGTTATTCCAGCAGTGGTTAAGCAGAAGTGTAGTCACATTGGGCAGCAGATCATGCTGCGGAGCCGTCCAATTTGATATCTGACTGAAATGATGCCTTGTTTACAATAAATTCATGTTTTATATTTTTTACCAATGATTTTTGCTTTTACATTGGTAGATTATAACTTACAGCAGATGAATTAATTCAAAATTAAATTTGAAATCACAATCGTAAGCGCCATCACCAGGTACCTGACACAATGAACAAATTGCAAAAGGTGCAAAGACAAGCCAACAAAATGGCTTCCAGAACTGAAAGACAAGAGCTATGAAGAGAGCCCATGTTAAATATGCCAAAGCTAGATGATAGAAGAGAGGCAAAATGATAACTTAATACAAAATAGTAATGAGAACAAACAAAATTGATAAAGTAGAATTCTTGGTATGAGCATCAAGAACAAAAGGTTATATATTTAAGCTATGTAAACAAAGCTGCCAAAAAACCAGCATTGAATGTAATGAAATGCCATTTTCTGGGTGAGTCCTGGAGGATCCCTGGAGCTTACTAGGCTGATATGCTAATGTCAGACTTTGGCATCAGTCATGTGTATGAAGTTCTTATGGGCCTACCGGGGACCACGAGCCAAAACCTGGCCCCCTCTAGAGAGGCAAGGGGAGCAATGGCCTATAGAAACCCCCGTATGATTGGAAGCATTCTATGTCTACCATCAACCGGGTTAGGCACCCAGAAGAGTAGGCGTTCCAAAACAAACCCCTATTCTGGTAAATATTGCAACCAAAAGCCGAACGAGTGGATAGAACTCCCCAAACAAAAACGAGCAAACTAGTATGACGTCACCCGTCGTCGCGCCGCGGTCTGCGCAGCTACCCCCTCTCCGGGAGGGAGAAGGGGGTAGCCCCAGACCCACGGTGCCAGCATTCCACACCTCAGTTCTGAGGCTGCATGTGAAAATACGCAAATAAACTGCCGATCGGAGGGAGGGATGGATGCCGTAGAGTCTCCGGGACTCGCCCAGAAAATGGCATTTCATTTCATTCAACGTTGGTTTTCTGGGGTAAGCCCCTACGGCTCCCCGGAGCTAACTACCCACAGATGACAGAATAGGAACTTAACCCGGAGGTGGTTGCTGCTCACTCCTCAACCTGAAGTCAGGACAACTGGCTGCATCCGGCGACACAGGCCCATCTGGGCCCAGGAACGTTTACAAGGTAACGAGCAGCCAGGACCCTGTTCAACCGCCAAAATCCCAGCGCCCGAATGTCAGCCCAGGACATATTGTCAAAGACGGCGGCAAGAGCCGCGAACTTGTGAACGTCATGGGCACGAGGATACCCCGCAGGCTGGCTAGCCTTAATAACCCTTCGGACGACTTAGGAGAGCCGCACTCTTGAACAGGGAAGAAGGGAAGAAGGGAAACCGAATTAACCCAAAGCGCATCAACAGACACAGAAGCCATGGCTCACAAATAACTGCGAAGAGCTGCAACCGGACACAAAACATGATGCACCCCCGGCCTAACCAACCAAGCATCAACAACCCAGGGACCCCTCTGGAAAGCAGCAGTCTCATTCTTCGCCAGAAAAGAAGGCTCCAGATGGCTGCAGGCCATCTGCAGCCTTCTCCTTCTGCAGGAGAATGCTACAGATGAACAAACCGATCTCCCTGACCGAAGGAGCAGAAACCTCTGCGCCAGAAGAGAGCATGAAGCTCACCAACCCGACCTCCAGAGGCCAACACCAACAGGAAAAAGAGCCTTTGAAAAACAATTCAGAACCGAAGGGGCCACAACAAAATGAGGAGAAGAAAGTAAAGAGAGCACTCTGTCCAAAGACCAGTCCAGCTCAGGTGGCGCATGAGCAGGCCGGAGGTGAAACAACGCCAAGACAGCTTGCGAAATGGCGCAAATGTGACATTAATACCGAAAGCAAGGTGAAGCAGCTCTGCCAGCGCCGCACGATACGAGGCAACAATGTTAGGCATAAGGAGACGGTCCTGGAACAACCAAGAGAGAAAGGACAACACCACCTTAACAGAAAGCAAAGAACAATGATGAAGTCGTAAGAAGAATCAGAAGGACCCCCAGGAAACTTCATATTGCCGCCGAGATGAAGCCCGCAGGTGGGACACTAATAAGGAACCCACCTGATCACCATAGAGATGATGATAAACTCGAGTCAAAAATACCATACGTGAAGACTCGAGGAGAAGATCAAACCATACACGTGACGTACCGGTCCGATCTGCTAGAAGAGGCAGAGCCGCGGGAAAACCTCCGGGTTCAGACATCAAGGAAGCAGCGTCTGAAACCATGGCTGGGCTGGCCACCAAGGGGCCAAGAGGACAACTCTCCCTTAGTAAGTCTCCAAGCGAGTCAGGACCTGGAGCAACAGCTTAACCAGGGAAAAAGAGGTACAGGATCCCCCACCTCGACCAGTTCTGCCGAATGGTATCGACCCCGAAGGCCTCGCAGTCGGGAAAGGGCGCCACATACAGGGGAAGGTGCCGCGATCACGCCGATACAAAAAGGTCCACCTCGTCCGAACGTCTGGCAAAGCCAACGGAAGGAGACGGCGTCGACCGTCCATTCCTTGGAGAGGGGAACGAAATGAAACAGGCCATCAGCCAAGACGTTGGACACTCCCCGCACGTGAACTGCCAGGTGAGCCAAACCCCGAGAACTCGGCAGACGAGTCACCCGAAGCGACCAGTGCCAAAGAGTCAAGGACCGCATCGAACCCCACCGGTTTAGACAATGAACCACCGAGGAGCAGTCCGAATAGAGCCGGATCGTCGACCCTCGGGCGACTCGAAGCCTATGAAGAGCAAACCACACCACCGCGAACTCCCGCACAGTGCTGTGGGCTCGACGGAAGGACGGATCCCACTGCCCCTGGCCAGCCTGGTGAGCACTGGTCACAAAGCCCCAGCCGAGAGATGACTCATCCGTAAACACATCGATCAAGGGCTCAGGTAGGTGCCAAGGCACTGAACCCCGAAAAACCCGAAGAGAAAGCCGGCGACGCAGCAACCGACGCAAAGCCCCCCGCAGCAATCAACCTAGAGGGTTGCAGCAACCTAAACCTAGCATGCAATGCCTGCGCTGCCTGTACCCGAATAATATCACAAACAGATTGGATAAACTGAGTCACCAGCAAGCAACAAAACTCGCAGGACTCTGGATCGAAAGTGTCACCGACCCAACAGGCAGAGTGACGGGGGCAAAAACAGTGCGTCACCCTGAGACAAGGGGACAGAGCAATCCTCGAACTCGTACAAAGTGAGGGGGGACTTAGGGGTCACATCCATTGAACCCGCACACCCCCGAGGGGTTTCCCAGGGTCCTGAGACAGAACTCATGCTCAGGGAAGCCCAGGCAGGGTACTGCTAACCGGTGCCCAAGTCTACCAAACAACTTTCTAAGAACTGAACCCCCCCTTCCCCAGGGTCGTGTACACTCACGAGGACCAAGCAGGGGGTACCACTGAAAGAGAGAAGAATACTCAGTACACAGGGGGCAATAACCAAGGCAGACCCCCACCTGGCAGGCAAACAAAAAGAAAAGAAAACCCCGCAAGAGGACAGCGTACCCAGGCAGAACAGAGCCGGCCGCTATGATTGGTGAAAACAAGCTGCACAGTACCCTGCGCCCCTTACCAGTGCAAACTGCCCCCTACCCCAAGGCGAACAAGGGAGACAGAACATCCGAACACACAAAGGGCGGCCAAAAACCAAGCAGTAAATGGCCTAGCAGAGACAGTACTCAAGGAACTTGTGGAAGGTGGCCCCAAGCCCCAAGGGCAGTACTTACTGAGCACCTAGGAAAGGGGACTCTAGACGCATGCAGCCCGAGTACTGAAGAATAACTCCCGGCTCGCGCACCACCTAGAAGACAGACACCACACACAAGGCACAGTGCTGAAACAACCACTAGAGCCAGAGCACATGACCGTTACCTATAGCATCAGCCTCAGAACTGGGATATGGATGGCCGGCTCGTGGGTCTGGGGGCTTCACCTTCCCCCTCCCAGGGATGGGGAAGGTGCGCAGACGGCAGCGCGGCGACGTGTGACGTCATACTCATTTACTTGTTTCTGTTTAGGGAGTTCTATCTACTTGTTCGCCTTTTGGTAGCAATTTTCACCAGAATAGGGGTTTGTTTTGGGATGCCTACCTTTCTGGGTGCTTAACCCGATCGATGGCAGAAATAGAACGCTTCCAACCACACTGGTGTTTCTACAGGCCATTGCTCCTTGTGCCTTTCTGAGGGGGCCAGGTTCTGGTTCATGGTCTCCAGTACGCCCACAGAACTCCATACACATGACTGATACCAAAGTCTGACATTAGCATATCAGCCTGGATAGCTCCGGGAAGCCGACGGGGCTTCCACCAGAAAACAAGGTAACAAGCAAATCGTCACCAACCTGATGCGCCACTCGTTCGTGTCGCCGCCCCATCGAGCCAGCCGCTAGATCGCCAGTTTAGAGACTGATCAAACGGCAACAAAAACCGCCGACCGGAGGGAGGGAGGGTGTTAGGGAGCCTTCGGGGCCCACCCAGAAAATGCTGTTTCGTTACATTCAACGCCAATTTTTTTTAGTACTTTTATAGGTGGTTTGTCTCAGCATTGATTTGGTTTATCTTGATTCTAATGTGCTCTCTGCAGTATAGAGGACTGCAAGAGAAATTTGCCGAGGCCCTTGTCTCCAGTGGCAAAAAGTCTCGCATCTACCTGGTGTTGTCCATTGCAAATGGTGACAGATAGATCATAAGCACTGGGAGCTATTGAGGTGGCATCATGGGTCTTTCATTACCTTAAACATTATTTCTTGTGTAATTTTTCCTCCACACTGAGTAATATGAGTGTACCAAAATTAAATACATTTATTAATTACAGTAATAAAAACAAATTATGGATAAGGTACAGTTACTGACCTGTGGTTGAACATAACTGTGTGTAGTGAAGGGAGGTCCACTAAATCATCTAAGGTGAAGGAACTGATGTTGGCATGAGCAATGGTGAGGGTAGTTATCAGAGGCAGCTGTTCCTCTGACAAATGTAATGTCACCTCCTTCAGGGACTTAAGGCCTCTGCACAGAACCTGCCATATGTACTTTTCATAAATACAACAACATATAGTTTTCATTAATTTACAGTACAGTACAATATTTTATTCAACGAATATCCACAATAAAGTAAAATGGCATGATGTGGTTAGCAATGCAAAATAATTTTGTTTATCAATGATTAAGACCTATATGGGAACATTAAATAAAATTGCAACAGTGAAGAGTATTTTTTAACAAAAATACTGTGGCTTGTTTGCCACAGTATTTTTGTCCCAGGCCCACTTGGAAGAAATCAGGATAAGGATTTGGGATAGGACAGGAGAAAGGGATAGCGAGTTTTAAAATATACCTGGAAAAGATACCTTCTGAAGAAATAAGATTTAAGAAATAGATAAGATTTTTATACCTACTGAAGAAAATATCCGGATCAACATCCTCTAACTTGTTCAGTATTTTAAAAGTTTCAATGAGCTACCTAATGTCATGACTGGTTTGCAGTATTGTTAGCCTGTAACCCCTTACAGTTGTTGAAGTAAGTTATTAATTTAATGAGATTACAGATGACCTGAGATATATGAACCTTGGAACAGGGAGCCAAGGAAGAAGGATCAACCCACAAAGCTTTCACCAAGGCAGTATCAGTGGCACAAAGGTGACAAAGAACTGCCACCATGTATAGCACATTATGCACCCTTGGGAAAACTAGTCAAGCATCAGCAACAAAAGGACTCCTCTGGAAGCCCACTGACTCATTCTTAGCCAAAAAACCAGCGTTGAATGTAATGAAACGCCATTTTCTGGGTGAGCCCCGGAGGCTCCCTGGAGCTTATCGGGCTAATATATGTTATATTAAACCGGGACATTAGCTAAGGAGTTCAGACCTACCAGGGACCAGCGCCAGAACCTGGCCCCTTCAGAGAGGTTTCAGGGAGCAATGGCATTGGAAAACCCTCTTGTGGTTGGGGTTTTCCTTCTCTGCCATCGACCGGGGTTAGGCACCCAGAAAGGTAGGCATGACAAAACAAACCCCACATGGTAAATAACTAAAACAAAAAACCGAACAGAGAGGTAGAAACTCCCTACAATCCCAAGGAAACAAGCAAACATCACACTTTACTGCCGCGCCGATCGTCCGTGCAGCCCTCCCCGCCCCGAGAGGGGGAGGGGGGAGCCCCAGACCTACCGTGCCGGCTGCCAAGCTTCAGTTCGGAAGCTAAGCTTCAACGAACACGAAAAAACCGCTGACCGGTGAGAGGGAGGGTTGCCAGGGAGCCTCCGGGGTTCACCAGAAAAAGGCGTTTCATTACATTCAAGGCTGTTTTTCTGTGGGGAGCCCCTACGGCTCCCTGGAGCTTCATACCCAAAGAGAAGGAAAAGAAAGGGCTAACCCGGGAGGCGGCCGCCACAAACTCCGCAACGCGAAGCCAAGACAACAGGATGCAACCTGCGACCCAAAGCAACAAGAATGCACAGGAGCAGACGTGCATAAAGAATGGGCGGCCAAGAAACTGTGCGACCTTCAATTCCCTGCACCCAAAATGAGCCCTAGACGTCACCAACACAGCAGCAAAAGCTGCAAACGTCCAAACAGCACGAGCAAGAACACAGACCGCAGGCTGGAAGACTGAAAAACTCTGCGGACGACCTGGGAGACCCGAGCCCCAAAACAGAGACGAGGGGAACCGGATCAACCAAAGCGCTTCCCTAAACACAGTACGCAGGTAACGGCAAAAAGCGCAAACGGACAACACAGGATGCACCACCGGCCAAACCAATGAAGCATCAATAACCCAAGAACCCCTCCGGAAACCAGCCGTCTCGACCGTTGCCAGGACGGAGAAAGGCTGCACACCTACAAATCTACCGCCAGTACCAAGGAGCAGAAACCTGAACCGAAGGGGCTACCACAAACTGAGAAGAAGAAGGCACACTGATCAAGGACCAGGACCTAGATTCAGGAAGCTCTGTGTATTTCTTCGTAAGTGGGTTTGCTACGAAGGTTCCTAAGTGCGCCCTAAGAAGATGCTTAGGTGCGATTCAATAAGGTATACTTAGGAAGAAAATTGTTGGTTCACCTGCGTGCCGATAGAGGTCACTACTGTGTTTCGTTTGGCCAATCAGAGAGCAGCAACATTCTTCATATTGAAGATTTAGCGCTGGCTTATCGGAGCTCTACTGCCTCCTATTTACGTCTAATTTTCTTATAAAATTAGTATATTTCGAAGTAAAACAATGTTTTTTCAACTTCTACAGCCAGCACCGACATTGTAGTAAACAAATATGTTACATTTGTTGTTTACCTACGTAATTCTAAGAGATACTGTGTAGCTGTCCTTGTTGCTCGGAAGATGCGCTGACAATTATTGTATATATTTACTGAATTTACCCAGGGGCCACTAGCTATCTAGTGACCTCGAAGAGGACAGAAAGCCACCGGCTTGTTAAAGGGCCCGCCAATTGTCTTAATGATATTTTTTAGCTGGAATTTGGCATTTACGGCTTCAGCGGGTAGGCGGTTCCATGGGTTTATAGCCCTCCTGGTGGAAAAAAAAACATCTGTTTTCAGTCCTACTTGAGAGAACATACTCTCCAACACTATATCTGTGATTGTCCTGTTATCAGTGACTTCATACCAAATGGTATGAGGTATTTTGAGCTCTGTAATTACTTCATATACTCAAGAATATTGGAAGATATTCTTGTGCTGCACCCAGATTTTGCCAGTGGAGGCTAATAGATCAGCATTAAGTAATTTGTTCTCTCCTAATTCCATGTATGACTGGCCATCCTGTGAGGTGAGGATGTTGGGTGAGCTTGTAGCTGGTTTTTGATCTACACTGTGTGGTCCTTTATACAGAATAGGGAAGCAGCACATTGCTGTGTATACCTAAACATGTTTAAAAATACATTGTTTGAGAGGAGTTTTGTAGAAACTGGTAAGAGTAATTATAATATAATGTTTCCATGATTCAGTGCTTACCTCTTGTGAAAATTGCTTTGAGTTGTTTAGTCACAGTTGATTTGTTTTTTGTATTGAGGCTGGTATTTTCTAAATTGATTCCATGTACAGGATGTCTAACCATCCTGTGAGATGGGAGTATTAGATAAACTTATAGCTAGTTTTTTATCTAAACTGTGTAATATTCCATATAGAATAGGGTAGCAGCACATTGCTGTGTATACCTAATCTTCTTAATAAAAAAAAATCAGTAATAAAGAATTTAAATTATAGTTTGTATTATTACAAATACAGTACTGTATTATCCTTATTAAATCATGTTGACCATGGATCATTAAGATCTCATGTTGATATGTAATACAAGTCATATTTCTTTTGAACTGCTAATCCATGCTAATCATTCATTAAATTGTGCATTATGTCTCAATTTTTCACTTCCTTGGATATACTGTACAGTACAAAAAGATAGGATAAAAATAAACCAGTAATATTTCTTTCATTATATTTTTCATTTAAATAACTGCATCAATATTTTTACAGCTGACAGGATTTGTTTTCCCATACAGGTGCATTATTTGTTAAAAAAAAATTGGTTTATTGTTACACACAATGGTGCTACATAGCCTTCCCAGCTTGGTGCCTTCTTTTAATACTTACTGATTAAAAAATAAATAATAAATACATTTTATTCAGGAAAAGTACATACAGTTGATTTACAAACATAATGTTGGATTTATAGGCAGAGCTAGTACATACAATACCTAAAGCCACTAATACTCATAGCATTTTGGGCAAGGTGTGGGGGGGAAAAACAGACAAACTTAATAGTAATCGGGATTAGGTATAAATTGTGTTGAAAGAAGGAATAAAAAATACAAAAAGGGGGTTAACATAGCATAAATCAGCAATTGCACATGTTGGTGAACAGCATTGTTTAAAAAATAGCAAGACATGGGTTGACATTTAGGAGGTAGGTTAGGTTACATGGAGTTAATTAGGCAGTACTTGGTTTAACTCTTAAACTGGTTGAGAGAGGTACAGCCTTTGACATGATTCGGGAGGTCATTCCACATTCTGGGTCCCTTGATTTGTAGAGCACTTCTAGTTTGGTTACACACAGCCAAACTGAGTAACAGGAAGAGGTCTTGGACACAAATTTGTTCCATGCTAAATGTAGAGGAATCAGCTGAGTATTCCTCAAATAAAATAAGTTGCCTCAGCTTATAAGGTAAATAAAATAAGCATTTCTCAAATAAGTAGCTGCCTCACCTCACTGCCTTACTGCTACATAGCCTTCCCGGCATGGTGCCTTCTTTTGATAATTACTTGTTCCACACCCAAATTGTATAACAGGAAGAGGTCTTGGACCCCTACTTCCCTCTCTCTTTTTTAATAATCTATATAGTCATAATTATAGCATTAAGTATTCAATGAATAAAGTTTTTGACATTTTTACCCTTTTCCTTACCTAACATCATTTGTGCAGCATATTTTTATTTTATGTCTCACCCAGATTTAATTTCAAAATAAAACCAAACTAAATAAATTAGAAATGAGTATGTATAGCTAAGGTACACCCTTACTACTAGGTGAACAGGGGCATTTGGTGATAGTAAATGATCCCATCAGGCAGGGCTCATCACCTTCTCTCATATTTCATGTTCACCAGTGTTTATTTACTTAATAACTACTGGTATAATATCTTGCTATTATAAAACTAATTCTACTATCATCAAACACATATTTACTTCAAGTTTCAAGCAGAGAATGCATATATAACTAACACGAAGGACTCCTCTTCACTAGATTCACCAGCTATAATATTTTGGTCATGTTCCAATATCATAAATCGATCCCAGTGTTATGTAGTAGAGAAAAAATGACTTATATCCAGTTTACGTAAAGCTACGAGTGGTCGAAACCACACTTAAATCCCGGAATGAACTTACGAAAGTTTTTCCACTTAGGGTAGCTAATTGAATACGGACGTAGCTGCCACGAAGGCGCTAAGACGGAAAATGCTCTTAGCTAAGAGGAAAAACCTTCGTAAGTACCTTCCTGAATCCGGCCCCA